TGTATGTTATCTGTCGAAGAGTGAACTAGTATATATACGACGTAACAACAGTTATTTTCATTAATTGCGCTTATTGCAGTGAAGATATTACCTGCATAAAAATGAAAAGTCTCGTACTTTCCGTCTGTATTTTAATAATTGCTGTAAATATTCTGTCAATAAACTACTTCAACTATTTCAATAAATTATAACAGAGATATTTATAATAATATATATTAAAAACTATATAAAATAATTTAAACAAATATTTTGTAAGTTTCAGCTGTCTAGCTCAATAGAACTAAAAAATTTTAAAAATATAATAGAAACTACTGAGGATGAAGTTGAAGCTTGCCGGATTGAAAATAATATGACTCATGGTAAGTTATATCTAATTATTATTGCATATTACTGCAAAAACATATTATTGGAGATCTTTGTGATCGTCATTTATAAATTCTCTAATCAATATTTTAGTATAATTTTCAAATTTTGTTTTACTAAATTTTAATACTTTCCTTACAATCTTGTAATGTTTATTTAAACTTTTTTTTTCAAAAAACTGACTTTTACAATAATTGTTCTTATTTTTTAGCTGATGTATACAGTCCCCGAGACATAATGACTGACTTACCTACCAAACCCGAAAATGAAGAAAGAACAAGAAAAATGGGTTGCTGGATTGCGTGTGCCTTAAAAAGACAGAATTTAGTAAGTATTTTTAAATATGCTATACGTATTTTATATGTATTAGGTCAATCGGAAAGTCCGTCTGTTTTTTTGCAAAAATTATGGTTTTATTTAAAAAACAAAATGGAAAAATACCTCAATCAAAATATTGTTCATCGTTAGAGATGATTTTTTCCTATCTTTCGGGCAGTAAGCGAATTCCACGGCGAATGAATGACTCATCTTTGGAGGCTATCCACTCAGAGACCCATTTTTCATAAGAATTGAAGTGTTCCTCTGCAAGTGCGTGTATCATCGGAACAAGTGATAGTCGGAAGGGGCACAGTCTGGTGAATAAGCCGCATGGGGTAGCACTTCCCAGCGAAGTGCTTTTAACGTTTTCTTGACAAGTTTTGTGACGTGGACCGAGTGTTGTCATGATGCAAAATCTCTTTATGCTGTCTCGTTTCTGATCGTTTTCCATGCAATGCTCGACTTGAACGGATAATTTATTCTCGGTAGAGATCCCCTGTGATTATTTGAGATTTCAACAGCTCGTGATACATTTACACACTTCTGATCCCACCAAATACAGAGCATTGCCTTCTCTCCGTAGATATTCCGCTTTGGCGTCGACGTCGATGGTTGGCCTGAATCACAAATGGTTTTTCGACGGGGTTATCGAAATAGATCCATTTTCATTCGCAGTCACAATTCGATGCAAAAACCCCTTTTTTTGTTGCCTAGGAAGCAGAATTTCGCAGATGGTTTTTCGCCTTTTAATGTCTCTTGGCTTCAGTTCATATGGGACCTATTTTTCTTCCTTGTACACCTTTCCCAAGGCTTTCAAACGATCGGAAATAACAGATTGAACACAATTTAATGCTTTTGCAAATTGTTTTTGCATTTGATACGGGTCTTCATCCACCAATGTCTATAATTCTTCATCTTCAAATGCTCTTGACCGTTCAGAACGCTCTTTATCCTCCACATCAAAATTACCACTTTTTAAAGCGTCAAAACCATTCTCTGCATGTTTTATCGGAAGGAGCACTATCACTATAAACTTCTACAAGCATTCAGGTGCAGTTTTCTTCTATTTGAAGCAAAAGATTAATACTTCGCGCAAATGATGCTTATTTGGCCTAAATGTCGATATTTTCGATGCAGTAAAAAGCAATGTTATTAATGAGAACATATACCTTTACATACTGAATTTTATTGACACATAATAAAACTAAAAAATTAAGCTTGATTTAGATATTAGAATTATCAACAGTTCTAGCTACAGTTACTCGCCGCTAAATGGACTTTCTGATTGACCTAATATAATGTCCAACAATGCAAGATTAATATATCATAATAAATAATCAAATTTTAAATTATTCGAAATTTAATTTCTAATGTAACAGTTATGAATGCAATTAATAACACATATTGTTGCTTATACATAGAGGAAAGCCTCCTATTATGAGATATGCGCCTAATATGAGATAGCGGCGTTTCTGCTAAACTAATAAATGCTATCTATTGATTCCACCATGAATTTATTACTCTTGGATTGAAAATTATTTAGTACAAAATTTATTATTAGATTATGCCTGTAGTCATTGTACAAAAAGATTATAAAATTTGGATGTCTTCAAGTTTCATTGGGATGAGTCTTGTTTATTATTAAACAAATAAATATTTGGCAATAAATTCTTCATGTAGTGATGAAATAAGGTCGTACTAATAGAAAAATACGGGATATGTTGAATTGTTTAATTACAGAAGGCGTGAAAATCGTAATATGAGATAGCAAGATATTTCTAATATAAAATAATCCATGCTCCTATGTTGTAGTGGAAATCAATACTAAAGAGTAAATGTTATGTACAATAATAAAAAGGACAATCGGAATAAACGTCGAGTGCCTATTTTTGCGATGCTTGATTTCAATTACTTAAAGACGAGTTCTGGGTATAATTTATCGCATGCTCATTTTTCAGGCACACTGACTGTGTTTGTTTACATTTTAGAAACATGAAATAAAGTTTTTTAATTGCAATAACTGATATACTTTGCGTTTTACTATTGATTTCTTGGGGCAATATTAGGAACATAATTTTTTGACTTTACGATTTGCTTACTTTTTACATTTCTTTAATTTAAAAAAAAAATGAAATTTGAATTAAATTTTATATAATGTTATCTTAAAACTTAATTAAATTCACTTCAAAATGACCTGTTATTTTTTTAAATTCTGCCCATAGACTCCTATCATTTATCTAAAATAAACGGTATCTCATGGGAGCCTTATAATAATTTCTTCTTAATAATGTTAGATGGAAGATTCAAACATTAAAGAATCGCAAATTCATGTAAGAATAAATATAGAGTATGCTGGTCTTCCTGAAGAAGATATTATAAAGATTCATAAAATTGCGCGTAAATGCTTGAAAGAAGGTAAGATATATTTTGAATTATATAAAATATATTATTAGGTTGTTCAGTTCAACAAAAATGTTCACACGACAGCGTTTTTGTTTTGAACAATTTCCGAAATTCAATATGTAGTTGCAAAATTAATGTTAAGAAAGAGATATTATATACTTTTTTAAATAATTTCTTGTACAAGTGACACATTATTTATAGTTTATAATAAATTTTAAAAAATTTTACAATTTTCACTTTCTAGGATATATAAACTTTACCTCTTTGATATATTGTATAAATTACTTTAAAATTAATAAGAAATGAGGAATTACAAAAAAAAATTGTTATGTACGTTTAATGTATTTACGCTTGTATAATGCTTATAGAAAGTTATAATTGTTATAAAAATACAATATCTATAGGAAAAGTGATTATATATTTGATTTTTTAACTATATTATTTTAAATTTTTATTTGTACAGTGAGAAATATTACAGAAGAATGTGAGAAAAGTTTCTCCCTGCTTGTATGTGCTGTAAAAACTACACGTGAGGAAGAGGAACATCAACTACATGAAATAGAAGAAGCAGAAATGAAATAAATTAATATATATATGCAATCAAATGCAAAAATTAAATGTCCATATAGTTACTAATAAAGCTGTAATATACACTGAGAGAAAATGCTGTTGATTCAATTAAAGTCTATATTACGGGCTGTCACTAACATAAGTGATTAATTCATGTATTTTTTTTTTCACATAAAGGCATAAATTATTATTTCAGTAATCAAGTACTTTATGTCAATAAAAATATACATAAATTAATCACTTATGTTAGTGACAGCCCATAATATAGAATTTAATTGATCAACAGCATTTTTTTTCTCAGTGTACATACAATACAATATAATTTATGTTAAATAAAAGTGTACATTTATATTCTGTAATACTCTAATCGTATCTTTCTAATAAAGCATATACAAAAATTGTGTTTTATTTAGTTACATATATTTTGTTCAATTCAATTAAATTTGAAACATTTATAAAATCAAATTTTCTACTTTACTTTATATGTAAAGTTTTTTTTACTGATAAAAATATATACTTTTTGTAATATTATTACTATAAAACTTTTTTAACATAAATATATAATAATAATATATTTTTATTTTTTATTTTATTATTTCTGCAAAATTAATTTATTACATTTTAATTTTCTAAAATTATTAGAATAGGTACGTTCAACGGTAGAATAAAAATTACTTAAAAACTTTTAATTCATACAGAAAAAAATTTTTTTTTAAATATATTTATAATAAAATTTTATATTATTTAAATATTTTTCTAAAATTTAATATTTATGTAAAAAAAATTAACAAGATATGTATGTTATTATGTATTTATCTACATCATCTATAATAATTACTATAAGAGAAAGTGGAGAAATT